TCATATAAGGAACCGCTCGACCAATTGGATTGCTGGAAACTCTTTGCCCAGCTCTGAAATTATACTAAAAGATATTACAGGAAAATGTGCACATGCATTTTTAACATAAAATGAACTAAACTTATAAATACATTGATGTGGTTTTTGTGTTTCACTGATTAAATACCAGGTAGATATGAAGATATAGTGACGAGAAGATCTCAAAGACTTTTAGAGATTATAAATGAATCTAGGTCTCTAGAATCTAAACTTTGTAAATGAAATGAAGGGAAAAAAAGATCAAGGAGAACAAGAAATTTCTGTACAAAAATTAATAAAGATCAAAGAAAGGTGGAAAAGTACATCAAATAAATTGTCTACAAAATAATCATTAGTCATCATATATCACTGGGAAATACCCTTCACAGCTTCTCGTTTCCTGTCATCCAGTTTTCTGATGAGAGCTGCAGTTTCTGGATCCTGTTTTAAGTGTCATCAACACAAAGAAATTAGACAGTATGGTGGGAGAGATCAGAAGGAGAAAAGACTAGAAAAAGAAGGATAAAGCAAGATAGTGGAAGGGAAGAAGGGAAAAAAGGACAACTTTGGGATGCATGTAGGATTGAAAAAAAATTTCCTGCTGCATGGAAATAAGTTTTGGTACTAAAGTTAATCCAGGCCTTTAACTCCAAAAGTGATTAACATATAACTTCTCCTCATAATATCCATGTATTATCCAGAAAACAGCTAATGAGGATACTCCAATTTATTAGGTAGAAGTTATTATCCATCCCCAAATTTCCCTAAATAATTTGCAAGGAAATGAGTAGCAGCTAGAGAGGAGATTTAATGATTAAATCTTGAAAGTTAGATGGTTAAGTAACAATCATGGATTCTGCATGTATTTTACCAAACATAATGTACCACACCTGATACATGTCAAAGGCCAAATCATCCATGCGTGAGATGTAATCAGGTCTAAGGGAATAAAATTTTGAAATGTAAAAGATATTGTCATATAAAGGTGAAGGCAAAGTCTGTACTTAAACCAAGTGACCCATCCAGCTGGAGCTTGTCCTGGTTCCGTAACATGAGGCAACTGGGATTATTTCTACTCCCCCCCCTGGAGAGGATGCCAGTCCATTGTAAGGTTACCTCCCATGATTTCATCACTATGGTAATACATGTAGGACTGATTGTCGACTAATTCTGTCTGTAATCATGCTTTGCAGTCATCCAATTTTGTGTATCCCTTGTACAATATTACAGACCAATTAGACTCCACTCAGTCCTATTACGGTACCATTGTTTATAACATTATTTTAAATTTTAAATATTACATTAGTTTGTATTGTAGTTCATACTTGTTAATTCTTCCCCAAACAGGACCACTGACTGCATTAGGGCTTATGTATCCCTGCACAACACTGTCAACATTCTTCAACTGGCAATTGAAAGCAAACAAACAATCATACAGTGGGAAAAAAAAAAAAAAAAACAATAATTTAAATCACTTTCCTCTTGTTGTCAAGTATCAATGATCAGTTGAAACAAAGCATTAAATCAAAAATCTAAATTCCTAGAAAATTTTGCATCAAAATAATACATTCATGAAAATGCAAGAAAAACGTACATTATTATCTTTTGATGTAATTTCCAGTATTTTGTGGCATATATGTTTTGAGTACCAGTAACCTTTTTTGGTCAGATATTAATGTTAGAATCAGACCAAAAATACTTATTTTCTGTCTTTGATCACAATTTACAAAGCAACTGGTACAAAATGGTCCAAGAGCAGGTGGGTTTCTGCTGCCTACTGGCTTTAAATGACAATGCTGGGTACATAATTATATATATATAAGCTCTAGCCATTTGTCAAATTTTCATAAGCTCTGCTAGTAAAGTATCCTTCAGTTAAATCAAACCTGGCTACAGGTCACACCATCACAAGGAAATAAGATCTTCCTTGCCTCATATCGATGTCTAGATTTATTGATATTGTGTTTACTTACTGAATCAAAGTCGCCTGGATCATAGGGTGTATCCAGCCTGTCGCCAATCACATTAACAGCCACCAATCCAACCTAAAAAAACATAACAAACAAAATAAACACTAACACAGGGAAGTACGCCCTCCACCACAACAAGTTAAAATATGAAACTCTCTGTAATGTTATTTCTAGCATTCTGGGGAATATTTGATAAATTTTTTTACCCAAACAATAATGTTGGAATCAATTAAAAAATACTTAATATTTTCTGTCTTTGATCATGATTGACAAAGTATTAGCTTGTTATTTGGTTATATTGAATTCAATTGTATGCGCGCCGAAGTATGGCTGCCACGTTTGATGTTCTGCGAAAATTTTTAATTTTACTCGGATTTCAGTCAATTTTTTTATCAGTTTGGTTACACGATGGTCGCACTTTGAACACAGCTCCTGTTTCATTTCAAGCAGCTGGATTGGATCGACCTTCCTTTCACTTTCGAAGACTAAGTTCATTTGGGCTTCGTTGACGACCAATTTCTTCCTGGCACAAACACGGTTACGTTTGCTTCTTATTGCCGTCCCTTGACCTTACTATTTGTCAGGACGTTGAAAGGAATCCTGGCCCACTTACTCATCATTCTACTGGTCGCGCTAACCCGCCTCCTTCTGCTATTTCGCTTGCCGATAAGCCATCAAGTCAAGCCCAAATTGCTACAAAGTTTTACTCCAGAACTGATCTTCTTCGCTTGCGCTCTTCCGGTCCAAGCTATTTGTATCAATCTTCATTATGTCTACTTCAAGCCCTTGGTATTTTTAAGTACCGAGGATGTCGCGCTGGAAAGGCTGATAAAGCTAGGAAACATGCTGTTCATAATATTCTTCCGATTTCTTCTTCACGCCGGGATTGTAGATCATTAAATATTCAACTTGTCACCTCTAATGGTGTCAATCCGTCCGTTTTGAAGCCTCTGAGATCATTGCTGTCATCGAGTCTTTCTTCAAATAATCTTCGCTTTGCAATCTGTAATGCTCGCTCTATCAGGAACAAAGTGGAAACAATCATTGACCATGCTGTTGGCAATGATATCGGTATCTGTATTTTTACTGAAACTTGGTTAAACGATTTAGATTCTGTCTGCATTGCTGATCTTTCTCGTCATGGCTATTTATTCAAGAGTTTTCCACGGCAATCAAATCGATCTGGCGGTGGTACAGGCATTTTATTCCGCGACTCTTTTGATGCCACACTTCTGGACGGGAAGGAACATAATTCTTTTGAATTTTCCGAATGGATTTTGAAGACAACAAATCGCTCTATCCGTATTGTTGCTGTTTACCGCCCTCCCAACTCTTCTGCGTCGGTATTTCTTGATGAGTTTTCGTCGTATCTTGAAAACATTGTCATGTGTCCTGAACCTCTTATTATCGCTGGGGATTTCAACTTTCACATGGATTTGGTGCATAGCAATTGTGCTATAAGATTTAAAGAGTTGCTGGAAACCTTCAGCCTCTCACAACACGTAACGATGTCCACGCATATTTCTGGGCATATTTTGGACCTTATCATCACTCGATCCACCAGTGACTTAATTTTGGGTCCCATTAACGTCACCTTACCCATCTCGGATCATTTTTTTGTTGAGTGTTTTATTCGCTTCCCAAGTTCATCAATCTCTACCAAGTCTGTGTCATATCGCAGGTTAAAGAACATCGACATTGATGCATTTAAATCGGACATCACCTCGTCTGTACTTTGCAGTGACACACACTGGAGCAACCTTGGCGATTTATCCAAGCAGTACTCCTCGACTTTAACAGAAATCCTGGATAAACATGCTCCCATAAAGACAAAAACTCTTGTTACTCGTGCAAAGATCCCTTGGTTTAACGCTGATGTTCTCCAGTTTAAACGTATTCGTCGCAAGGCTGAGCGGAAAGCTCTTAAAAGTGGTCTTTCTTCAGATTGGCTTGCTTATCGTAAAATCTGTAATAGATATTCTGCTCTTCTCAAGTCTACTCGAGCTTCTTATTACTCAGATTTAATTGGTCAGTGCGCTGGTGACTCCGGGAAGTTGTTCAAATTGGTTTCATTCCTTTGTAAGGGTCCTAATGTTAATGATCTACCACCTCATGATGACCCAGTTCTACTTGNAATAAATTTGGGGAATTCTTTGTTAAAAAAATTGAACTCATCAAAGATTCCATCAGTGATATTGAAGTTAATCCTCCTTATTCTGATACTGCTGCTCCAGCTGTAGAACTTGACAGTTTTTCGCCGTTATCAGTGGAAGATGTTTGCAATATAATCAGTACATCGTCTAATGCCTCATGCTCCCTGGATCCAATCCCTACATGGCTTGTGAAGTCTTGTCTTGACGTCCTTGCGCCCTCCATTACTCGCATGGTAAATTTGTCTATTCGCCACGCCTATGTTCCCGATGATTGGAAAACTGCAATTGTGAAACCTCTATTAAAGAAACCCGGTCTAGAGTTAACTTATAAAAACTTCCGTCCGGTAAGCAATCTAACATTCATCTCCAAGATCGTCGAAAAGGCGGTTCTTTCTCAATTGTTTAAGCACTGTGAATACAATGCTCCTCTGCCGAAGTTACAATCAGGGTTTAGAAGATTTCACTCTACCGAAACTGCCTTGCTTAAGGTTCAAAGTGATATTCTTATGTCAATGGACCATCAGGAAATTACGCTTCTTGTGCTACTGGATCTAAGCGCTGCTTTTGATACAATCGATCATCAGATTCTCCTTAATGTTCTTGAAAGCGATTTTGGAATCATTGGCTCTGCCCATAAATGGTTTGCGTCTTATCTGTCTGGCCGAAAACAACGTGTTCTCATAAACGATCGAACATCAGATGATTTTCATTTGAACTGCGGTGTCCCACAAGGCAGCTGTATGGGTCCTATTTTATTCATATTATACATATCTCGACTATATCACGTGATCGCTAACCATCTCCCCTCTGCTCACGGATATGCCGATGATACACAACTTTATCTGTCGTTTAGACCCAATGACATATCTTCGCAAGACCACGCCATAGCTGCTCTTGAAGCCTGCATTTCGGATGTCCGCTCATGGTTGATTTATAATCGCCTGTTAATTAACGATTCTAAAACCGAATTCTTAGTTGTTGGTTCCCGCCATCAATTATCAAAAATCGCAATTGATTCCATCACAGTCGGTAATTCTACCATTCAGCCTCTCAACAGTGTTCGAAACCTGGGTTCCTGGTTTGACTCCAATATGTCCATGTCCATTCACATTGGTAAGATCTGCAGCAAAGCTTTTCATGGATTGTATAAAATTCGCCAAATTAGGAAATTCCTCAGTCCTGAGTCCACGAAGACTCTTGTTCACGCATTTGTGACTTCGCATTTAGACTATTGCAACTCCCTTTTATTTGGCGTACCCAAGTACCAGACAGAGCGTCTTCAGAAGGTGCTTAACGCCGCTGCTCGACTAATTTTTAGGATTCCCAAGTTTCACCACATCTCGTCCGCCTTATATAATCTTCACTGGCTTCCTGTGGCTTATCGCGTCCATTTTAAGTTGTTACTTTTAATTTATAAAGCTTTAAATAACCAAGGCCCACTATACATAAAAGAATATCTGCAGCCACACAGTGTCAAGGGTCATCAGCTACGTTCCTGCGATCAGGGTCTCCTTAAGGTCCCAAGAACTAACTTTAAGACCTTTGGTGATCGTGCCTTTGCCCGTTCTGGACCTTTTTTGTGGAACGAACTGCCGCTTGAAATTCGAAACAGTCCAAGTGTAACGATTTTTAAGTCAAAGCTTAAGACACATCTATTCAAGCTGGCTTACAGTTTGTTTTGATATTTTGTCGTTTATCATTTTAATATTTGTAGTTAATAATGCTGTAAAGCGCTTTAGAATATTTTATAATTTTAGCGCTTTAGAAATGTAAATTATTATTATATTATTATTATTCATTTAGTTATTTCAGTGTGATATTGATGTAGCCTTGTAACTGAAAACCTTTGTGGAGAGTTGTAATAACGTATATAAGCATGTAAAGTAGCTGCTGCAAAATGGTCTGACAGCTGGCAGGTTTCCACCACCTAACAGCACCTGATGACAGCCCTGTACTAACGTACCTGATTGTAAATGTTGTACTTGTTCACATGATTCTTGTGTAAGACTAGCTTGACAAAATGTCCCTCTGCATCCAGGTGAATGGATTTCAGCTCTCTTGCCTAGAGAATCATAAAATGTTATACTTTATTACTGTGAAGATTGCTTTCATACATGTCATACTTCTTCTAAAATAAATACTTATGGCCACACATTTTTCCATGACCACAGCATGCATGAGACAATTTGAAAGATCAGATAAAGAAACAGAGTAGAATTCATTTTTAATTACCTTAAAGTCGGTGTTTCCATTGTCAGAGAGTCCAACATACCTTAAAAAGAATGATGCTACAAGTTTTTTCACATACTTCAAAATTAACATGACCTTTACTCCTTTTCAAAGTAACCTCTAAGCTAAGATTGGGAACTTGGGAATATACCCTGCGAGCAGAGCCTTTTTAACCCATCCTTGAATAAAAAATGGAAAAAGGCTCTGCCAACCACCTGTTGTTGCTCATTTGAACATGTGCGGCGGTTGCCTAGAAACTGATCCTTTTCCAGGCCCCCCTGACATATTATGGGCACAGATTTGGTCATCTGTGTACATGAAAAACAAAGGCGTGCGCACCAAAACCAGTTTGACTGGAGGCAAAATGGGCTTGACTAGCCTGGAGTTTTGGGCTTTTGGCATTTCAAAGTAACAACAGCATGTTGGCAGAGCCTTTTCCCTTGGAGGGTTAAAAAGAAGAAAAGAAGAAGAAAAGAAGAAAAGGCTCTGCTTGCTGGGTATTGGGAATAAATTCTTATATACTAAAACAAGATGTGCACCAAACAATGGAGAACAATCTCAAATATAAGAAAATCTCCTTGGCTTATAAATAATAAACTGATAAAGCATTGAGACTATTTATTTAGCAAACCTGGTTAAAGAAAGGAAAAAAATTGGCATTTAAATTAAACCTTTGTTTTTGGCAAAGCCAAAAAAATCTAAACCTGAAGATTCTAAGACAGTTTTTCTTTGCTTAATAATTAAGATAACATTAAAATAATTCTTATCCCAATATATTTTGAGGTTAAACTCACCCAAGCCGTTTAAACTTGGAGGTCAGCAAGGATGGGGACTGTCCACTGGGTACTTTGCTGATTAATACTTCCACTTTACTAGCTGCAATCATACATACAACTATACATTGTATACTGTATCACTTCATTTATCATATATACAGCAGTATCTGTATACTGTATCACTTCATTTATCATACATAAAGCTGTAGGTGTATATTGTATCACTTCATTTAACAGACTGAGGAGTCTGTTAAATGAAGTGTTACTGTTAACAGTATGAGTCAGCGGAAACAATTTGTGTGCTGTTTGGCTGTTAATATATTACCACAAGTATGGCAGTCTCTATTATTCTCCTTTATCAAGAAGCAAGCCAACAGGAAGTGGGTAAAACATTACGTGGCAAAATTTGCTTTTATTTCACAGTTCTTAAGCTACTGAAAACTGTTTGTTTCCTAAGTGTGGGGTTCAATTCCTCATGGGGCCTGAGATCTTTTTTTTTTTCCCACTCTTGCAACAGGATGAATAACATGCAGTACATGTATCATGGAAGATTAAACATAACTTACAAATCATGAACTGATGGGACAGTATCTGAAGTTTTCTGATGCGCACTGGCTCCTTCATCAGCAACACCAGTTCTTGAGGATAAAGACAAAACCTAGGGAAAAAGGATTAAAAGATACTTGTTGTCATAAGTTCGGTAGTCCATAGGTAACATCCGTACTTCTTAACATCTGAGCAAAATGGCCCATCCAGCCAGAGCATATCCTGGTCTCTATAGCATGAAGCAACAAGGTGTATTATCACTCCCCCATACATGGCATGTGCCAGTCAATCCCAAGAATGCTCGCCAGCATTTAATCAGGCTTCCCTGATAATTCATACTCCTGTGTGGAGAAAGGTACCGTTAAAGTAATTTAAAAGTGTTTTGCCTAGTAGGAATATAACAAAATGACCCAGCTAGGACTCAAATCAAACCTCTTGACCAAGGACCCAGTGCACTACCCATTGTGTAGGTTGCTGAGTCTTCCACTCTGATTTGACCCTTAACATCCTAACATCAGTATGTATTTTCTCCCTACTGTTTTTTGTACACTTCCTCAGGTGCTGACAAGGAGAATTTGTTTAACAATCAAGAGCTTCTTTGGCTGGTGATCATTTACTTTATTCTCCTGACCTTAATGTGTTCAGGGGTGATCTTGGAGGGAGAAATTAAAAGCTAGCCACTCTTACGGATCAAAAGGTTTGGAGTAGGAGGAGTTAGGTTGGCATTCCTATCATAACAATGTCAACTGAAGGCATGATAGCTACAGCGGCAATGATAATGATGATGAGTGTAACAACAGCAGTTTTTACAACAATTTCAGAAATGATAAAATATTTTGGCTGATGATTTACATTGTGCTGATTAACCTCACAACAAACTACAATGGCAAGAACATATCCCTCTCATTATTGCCTTATTTCTAGCAGCAAAGTAGTCCAGGAAAAAGTATGCTAACAGGAATCTCACAATTGAGAAAAATAGAAAAAAAGACCTGGACACCCAGTACCTACACTCCCAGACATGATCAGTTGAGATACTTCTCCAGACCAAAGCCTGTATGTTTTCACCCCTCTTCCCTTTCCAATGTGCTTAATTACTTAATTAAATGTTTCTGTGTTATCCTACAGATCCACATGGAGAGGGGCAGGGGGAGAGGGGCAGGGGAGAGGGGCAGGGGAAGAGGGGAGGAGACAGTTGGTATCTCAACAAATGTGTCTGGGAGTGTACAGTGTATTTAATCAGCAGATCAAATTTCACAATAAGTTAGTATCATAATATCGAACTGTTTAAGTATTGTACCTGGAAGAATGCCATCCTTTTGTTGTGGGACTATGAAACTGGTGAAATAATTAAAAATCAGGTAATGCGAGTTTATAACTTTGATCAATGCACTGTGAGTTTACAGATATACACATACCTTTGGTTATTTAATCACATGACTTCAGGGACACCCAGACAACACTCAATAAAAATTGTGTGTCAAAAGAAACAAAGAAAATGAACTGAATTCATTAATTGATTTTATGCTGCTGGTTAATTTAATAAATTCATACCTCTAATTCTTTCTCACGGTGATTGTCATCAGCACTGGAACTGTAGACCACTTGAAATGGTATCTTAGTTGGCATTAAGTTTCTTACTTGTTACGTTTTCCTATGAGAACAATCATCGGTATCAAGTCACCTTGTTTTCACATCTGCTTTGCAAAGTCTATAACTTTACTTTAACCCTTTGACCCCCCAAGAGTGACTAATATCTAATTTCTCCTTACAATACGATCCTTGAATGAAACATATATATTAAGTGATGAGAATAGAGAAAATGATCAACAACTAAAAGATCTTGATTGCTTAACAAATTCTCCATGTCAACACCTGTAGAAATTTACTAGAACAGTATGGAGAATATACCTAGTGATGCTAGGGTATACGGAGTTAATGCTTAGCCTTGGGTTTTGTTTCCTGTGTCCAGAATGTGTGGAGTGCATTACAAGTTTGTGGAGTGTGTGACTGAAAGTTGATGTACTGCAATGTACACTGGAATTCAAAGAAGAACAAAACTACCTGCTTGGTTATAGTTATGTAAAAGTACACAACTTCTGCTTTGAAAATTAAAAGAGTTTCTACTTCGTTGGGAGCAGAGTGTGTAACTGGTACAGTACTTGGACATAATTATTATCAATCACCATTTGTTGAAATCAGGGTTCATGCAGCAATTTCAGAGTTAAATTTAAGGACTTTTTAAGGACTTAAATTTGACTTTCAAGGAGTCATTGTTGCTATGAAAAAAGCGTTTGTTTGCAATAATGCCAGCACATTTTTTTCCAACGCGCTCTTGAACTAGATAACTTTCTATTTTTTTCTCTTTTATTGTTTCCAATATATTTTTTCCCATTCAATGCATATTTAAGTAAAAAATTCAAGGAGTTTTTAAGGATTTTTTTTAAATTTCTTATTTTTAAGGAGTTTTCAAGTGCCCTTAAATTTGCAAAATAAATTCAAGGAGTTTAAGGAGTAGCACGAACCCTGTGAAATTCACCTCAAGCCCATTTTGATCCATTCTTAATGGAGTTTATTTTTGTTATGGTAAAAGAAAGTCAGGCTATCCAGCATATATACACAATTGAATAAAGGGGGTGAGTTTGTAAAGAAACTACAGCATCATGCTGTGTTAGTGGGAGTAACAAGATAATTTTGGTGTTATCAACTGAATCAACAGCCCTTCATCAGCAGGGCTCAACACTAACTTTTCACTGCCTAGCCAAGTGGCTATTGACAACTTAGATGTTACAACAATTTCAAGTTGGTTACTAGCCAAACTGGCTGGTGGAAATCAAAGACCACTGGCCAACACTGAATTTCTACTAATCTGTGACTAGTTGGCTTCCTTAAGTGTGACAAGCCCTGGTTGGGGTGAATGGACGAAGGGCTGACAAAGGGCTAAGGCTTGAAACCTCATGCAGCTTTGAAACTCCACACGGTGGCCAATTTACATCATCTGCGCAGTTGATAAAACCAAAATTACAAACACAATTGGCAGCCTTTATTTGCATGGAACTTGCACTTATCACTTGGTCAATTGAATTGCACCGCTTTTGCCCCCTATCGAGTTCGCCCCTTCGAGTTCATCCCTATGTTATACCATGTTTACCCCCACACTTTTCGAATTCGACCCCACCAAGTCGAGTTCGCCCCTTGATTGAGTGATGTCCAGACACTAGCAGAATGTGCCAAATGTCAAGTCAATGACGACCATTTTGAGTTTCGGCGATTGCGTGGAATCTGCAGTTTAACTAACGAACATGAAATGTGTTTATCATAACAACCAGACTTTAGAAGATGCAAACCATGCTTTCACCACATTGTGTTGATCCTAACAACAAGAGTTGAGAAGATGCAAACCTCACTTTCATCGTGACAGTATTGCTTAATTTGTTAGACTTGTAATAAACGTGTAACAGTTTTAATGATACTTACCTCGTTTAGCTTTATCTATGAAAATAAGACTGAAGGATTTACGAAACCATGATTTGATTACGCTTTTGAATATTTAAAACTTCTTAAGAGAATGCATTCCACGCTTCATTGGATTTTCGGTCATAGCAACCAGACTTTCGAAAGAAACTAATTAAGACATTACTCAATCTGGGGGCGAATTCAACTTGGTGGGGTCGAACTTGAAAAGTGTGGGTGTGAACACAGTATAAGTTGGGGGCGAACTCGAAGGGGCAAACTTGATGGGGGGCGAAAGCAGCATGCAGATACTGATCAATTTAACTTCTCAATGAATGATAAGTCTTGGTCATTTTCAAAATTGGTTTAAAAGTTTGTGGGAGGCATATCTGCTATTCTCTAAATTATTTTAAAATACTGTTATAATTTCCTGCAATTAGTCATCCATGATAAAACACCAAATTCTGTGATAATTTGTGCCAAAAAGCGCATGGTTAAAATACTTCGAAAGTATTGAAGTGGCCATGGCAACAAACTCAAAATCATCCACCGTCAAAATTTCAAAGTTGATTTCATCTGTGATACAGCTGTACATATTTGTATAATGACATTTTTAATTGCCGACAAATAATACAGAAAAATCACTCTACAGATTGCCTGCGAACTGTGTATTAATTGAGATCGGAAAATGATCATTGGTAGAAATCGATCGCACACGAGCAGAATTTAATTATTTCCAAAATCAAAAAACAAGTGGTGACAATTGGTGATCTGAAGAAGTAAAGCGGAATGGCTATTATTTAATTTGACTGAGAAAATTTCGGCTAATCTGCGTGGAATTAAAAGCGAACAATTCTATGTTTGTTACGCCTGTGGTCCAATGTCGAATGCACGTACGTACGAATAACTGATTCCGGACGAACGAAAATTTGGATAATTTGACGACGACCTGACGCTGAAGAAAAGCGTTTTTTTTTTTTACCTCCTACGTGCGAATGACTATTTAACAGATCTTTCATAAGCTTAATCCCTGTGATACTAATGCTGCAAAATAATTAAGATCATTTGACTCGGAAAGACCGACAACGTCATTTTAGGTAAAAAACTCACTTTCGTCCCAGATCCAAGAAAACCATCTACTAACGAAAACGAATTTAGAAAAAAAAAGGTTGCAATAACCTCTCTATACCTTTAACTTTCCCAATTTGTATTATGAAGACTTAGTTACTGACTTAAAAATCGTAGAAAAGCAATCCAACATAAGAAACCCACCTGATGAAAATCCCGATCAGAACTCACTTCAAAATTTTGGCGCGAAGAGAAATCAGCTCATCAATTTGCCACCAGATGAGCTTTCATGAACCATATTTCTCAGTCAGACAGATTCTTAAGTTTTCCACAGCCTTGCCAGGAGAAATTTGCATCGATATTTCTTCCAGCATAGTAACTACTCGGAGTTACTCCTGTCCGAGTTTGTTTGCTCTTGTCAATATTCAGTGATAGCTTCATGAAGCTAATTTTAATACGGAGGGAGACTGGAGCGACTAGTTGCCTATGGAGCCTGCGATACTTCCTGTTTCTTGCCATCATTCTACTGTGTCATGCCATGCGTCAATTATTCCAATATGGCGGTCAAAACATGAAGTGGATTTTGTCTTTTAAGAACGACATAGAATTATTTTCAGATGGCAGGTTTTAGGCCAAGAGGGTCTATCATACAGTTCAACTGGCAGGAAACGCCAGAAGGAAGAGAGTTTTTGGGAGGAATTTTGCATCGAAACAGAAGAAAATATTTTGGTATGTTACACACTTGAACTTAAAGACTAATCCAATGTTTTGAATGCATTGATCGTATTTTTTTTGTTATCTCTAGGCTTACTTGAAGCCCCAAGCTTACCGCCACAACTTCCCATCGAAAATGTCTCTTATAAGATCTTCTTAACGGGAAAGCCAGCTGTTGGAAAAACGAGTACTATAGCCAAGCTGTTAGGGCAAGGTACTGTAATTATCAAGCACTGAGAACTTTTAAAGAAAGATAATAGCGGTTAAAATTCCAAGTTCAAAATGAATGTTTTAAAATGCGTCAACAGGAATTTTTGTGTTGTCTCATAGCAGAATTTGTTTCGGTTTTATCTAGAAATTTCCAGTTTTCACGTAGAAACTCCAGGTATTCAGACATCGGTGATATACTGGCCAGCTAAAGTAAGTTTAGTAATCAATTAAGTACTCTAGCCTATCATCCAGTCATGGTGCTTTATAGCATTTCACTAGGCCTCAGGCAAGTTTTAGGCCTCAGACTATGGTAATTCTGTGCACAAGTCTTTTTCAAGTAGGAGTCACACTGCGACCTACTGCACAATACAGGTACTAAAATGTAACAGAAAGAGTATCATATAACCCCATACATTAATTATACATTCCACTTCTTTGTCTTTCATGACAAAACTTTAAAAACAAAGTCTACTAGTCTGAATGCATAATTACCGTATAGGGTTATACAGTACTCTTGCCAAATGCGACTGCTTTGATATTGAGAGAGATGTTTTTCATCTTGTCATAAGTGTGTGAGTCCCCATGGGGAATCGAACCTCAGACCTACGGATCCCACGCCCCGATGCTCTACCACTGAGCCACGGAGACTCTATGGTGAGCGAGGCTGATTATGAAGTTCATGTATGATGTGCATCCTGCACACTGCTAAGATCGGCATCTTCAAATAGTTAGGCATCCTTTTCTTCTTGACCAATTGAGCTAACCACCTCCCGGTTAGCTCAATTGGTTAGAGCACCAGATTGTGTTGTGCCGTAGGTCGAGGGTTCGTGCCCCAGCCGGACCAATACTCAAGGTCTTAAAATAAGTGAGGAGAATTTGCTATCAAGAAATGGATAGATATTCTAGTCTTCTAGGATAAGGACGAATAAACCGTAGGCCCCGTCTCCTGCAAGGATAGGGGTCGGAGACGTTAATTTCCCAAGCACGAGATTACTGTGTGGTGGATGTCCTCCCGTGGGTGGGATGGGTGGTGTTGGCCCTGAAAAGCCCCTATGGGGAGTGGTCATTTAACCTATGTATGTATGTATGTATGTATGTATGTATGTATGTATGTTCTTGGATAAAGACAATAAACTGCAAGCCCCATCCCCTTAAGAACCCATATACTTCTAGCAAAGAGGAAGGAAATTGTTCACAATGTTGTGGTCTAGCTTTGTTATTGTTTATACAGGTCCCTATTTAAACCAACTTTGAATCTGAACGGAGCCAGCCTGTCTAAACATCACTAATGTATAAAATGAAGAAAGACAAGAGTTGTTTTCCCACAAGACCAGGATATGATGTTTTGGTTAACTAAGAGGCAATCTGTAACAATGAACCTTTTGATGAGTATGAAAGATTATTTGCAAAGATGAGCATAATGATCTTTTATTCTATGACTCATGATCCTCACTAAATTCATATCTTGCTCCTTCTTACAAGAACATCTTGGGCAATGTTTTCTAATGGTAGTTTACAGTCCTTATCCCAAACTTGTTATTGATAGTAATCGCAATAAATCTGTCTTTTATTTATTTTTTTTCCCAGCTGAAGGAGAGTCATAAAGTTGTGATGTTTAAGCTTCAATTCTGGGACTGTGGTGAACATGCTATTAGAAAATATGATCATCTGTTACCAGTAAGAAACAGTTTGATTTATAGCTATAATTATTTACTACAATTTATTGATTGAATAAGTTAAAATTTCCATTAATATGGCTTAAAACCAAATCATTACCCCTCCTCCCCCAGAAACTCGGGGAGTGAGACAAATGGCATGCTATTATCAACTTTTTTTAACTCCTACAACAAACTTTGCTGAAAGAAGAGACTGCCTGTAGTCTAGCCCCTAAATTGAAAAGTACTCAGAAGAAGTTTTTATTACCTCCTCACCACTGAAATCCTGGGGTGCAAATTTAGTTTTGTGGTTTCAAGCAAAGCCTTTAATATGTAGTTTTAGTTTTTGGTCAATGCCTTTAAATAAATAGTGCTAATTGTTCTTCCCATAGGCTCTCAAAGAGAAAGCTGATGCAGCACTTTTCTTGTTCTCATTCACAGACAGGTACATGTTGTTTGGTAGTGGTACATTTATGGTACACGACAGCTTTCAAAAACATGCCACAACTCAAAATATCTGTAAAGTTGTGAGAAAACACATCCAGTGGTGATATATTACTTCAAGAATGAGAAGTTCTGAATTTTTCTTTTTAGAGTTGGTGGAAACTTTGAGTGGTTTACTTATATATGCAATTTAATATCTCATCAGTCACTTAATACATCACTAGATATATTTTGAATGGTTCAGTTTAGTGCAAAATTGTCAAAATTCGAGTTTGCACCCTTTGCCATAAATTAAGCAATTTTCTCAGAGCACTTTATTCTAATTTCTTTTCCACAGAGGAAGTTTTGATGATTTGCCAAATCAGGTGAGTCTTTTAAAAATAAGATACACTCGTGATGAATAGATATGAACCAATGACCTTCTTAGCATTTTTCCTCTTCCTGCTCAGGGAGAGACTGTAAATGATCTGAGTTTTGTTTGAACAATGGAATGCAACAGTCCAACTATTTCAGACAAAAATAGAAAAATAGTTCACATATTGAGTCCAAAAAAAGTAAAGTACACTGTAATTGTCTTGTGGGGAACTCATAAATTCCTTGCAAATGTAATTACCTAGTATGTGTCTTTTTAAAAGATACATGGCAATGTCAAGTGGTTATGATTGTTCATTGTGAAAACTCATGTTATTCAAATCCAATACCTGTCTGTGGAAATTCCTTTCTTTAACCTTTTGTTAAAGTTAAAACTCCCTGAAATGTTTGGCATATAACTTCTCCTTATAATATCAATACATTATCGAGGACACAGGTAATGAGACTACACAAACTTACAGTGGATCCAGGGGGGGGAGGGTCCAGGGGATCCCCCCCCCCCCCCATCAGACCTGACGCTTAGAACTTTGAGACTGAAATTCTTATATCGACAGGATCGCAGATCACTTTTTAAATGGCTGATTTTTTATAATGAATCCAAGTAAACGGTAAGCGGCCAAGGAATTATAACGTGCAACCGCGACTGGTGGGAGGGGGTGTGGGGGAGAAGTAATTTGCCTCAAAAGAGTTTAACAGTCCTTTCTGAACCAAAGTTTGGATTCCCCCAATCAAAATTCCTGGATCTGCTCCTGACTTATCAGGTAGAAGTTGTTTTCTTGATCTAACACTAAATTCCTGTAAGTAATTTACAAGGAAGTGTCTAGCACTACAGGGGAGAATTTACAATCAGATCTTGGGAGTTAAAGAATTGAGTGTACTTTGTAATAATATTAATAAAAATAAATATTATTGGCACTCAGTTATTGAATAATTCCTCTGCAGATAAACCGTGTTCTGGATCAAGAAGAGAAGATCTTGCGGATAGCTGTTGCAACTAGATATCCTTTTTGCTTCCTTCTCTTTTCAAATGCTCCATCAAGCTGGTCAACTCCCATCGATTCTCTAACAATACCTTGTTTTTCAATTGTATAAATTCGTTCAAAGGTCAAGGGTATAATTTGAACAACATCGCCCTTCTCCGCAGTCATTCTTGCATTCAGTGCCCTTTCTCATGTAACCTGTAGTCAGTTGGTTTTTTTTTTTTTCTTTCAACAGAGGGCGATAGTGTTGAATGGCAAGATTCGGTGGGCGGAGTGACAGTATGAAAAAAATGCGATCTTTCTTCGAGTTATCACGCACTCGCTCTGTGCGTTTCCTCGCAACCTCAACAGAACAAAAGAAAACAAACAAGCAAACGTGCAAACATTTATAAAACGGCTGTTGACAGACTTTTTTTGTTTTTTGTTTTTCTTTTTTCCTTGTAAGCTTTTTCTACCTTGAGCACATGAAGTTTCTTTTTGGGTGTGCGGTTGAATACTTCGTGAAGGCGAGAGAGCAGCACTTTTTCAACACAATCAGGAAAACACAACGACTTCTGACCAACATCAGAAACCAAATACCATTCGTTACAACCACACCCACAGAGTATTTTTGGCGAACCTGTACTTAGTCAAACATTGAGATTTGTTGATAGGGGAATGCAAGTGGGCGACCTGGGAATGTCTGAGAATCAAGGCATCCTACAAGTTATATCTATGCTTGCCTGTATTTATTTGTCGCGTTTTGATAGAAATTAGATTTTCTGGGTCGATGTCTTTTTCTAACCGCACTAATTGATATGTTTTGGATTTGACCTTGCCCACATCTCATCTACAAATAAATCCCTCTTCAGCACTCGATATCGTAAGCATTCCAGGCCATCTCTGAAGTTTTGTTTTAAGTGGTTTTTAAATGTTATCCACGGAATTTTCCATCCTGGACTTGAGCTTATTCTTTCAAAAATGTTATGTCCAAGTGTGATTAGTGAAAAACACTTCAGAAAATACGATTACGAACAGAAGGCCTGGCTTTGACATTTAATCCTCATTATCAATAGTCCACTCTTTAAGCATAATCACGATGCAGTGATCTTCTTAGAGATTTTCCGGTTTGACTGTGACCTTAACTTGAAACAAACTTGACCAGATCTTGAACAGTGATTTTACAGAACAGGAAATTCGAGAGTTTGAAGAACAATGGCAAGTTCCTGTGCTGCGAATTGCAAATGTTACTGGTAAACGACTGGCAGATAGTCGCACCTTGGATGGACGGGCGGGAGTCATGGTAAATATGTCCGTGGTTGCAGAAGATCAACTTGTAAATTCTCCCGATTATTTCATTACCTTAACCAGTGTAGGAGTACTGAGAATTGATCTTGATCTAATTTCTCTCATCTAATTATCAAGGAAAAGTCTAGATACTGTTAAGGAGAATTTCCGGCTGTAATCATACCTCGGATGGCGAGGGTTAAGTTGAATAAGTGCATACAAGAGGAACCTTAGGAAGTCAGGAAAGCAACGCCGAGGAAGAAGTCGATTAAAAAATGCATTTACAACTTTAGTTAGACTTTTGCTAATAACTGGATGTGTTTGCTGTTTTTTACGGCGCCACACTTTTACTTCAGCGTTACTTGTGCGAGCAGCGTTACTTATGTGAGCAGCGTTGAGTTCCAAATGGAGACTTAAATAATTTGCCGAGGGGGTTTCGTCCTCAGACCACGCAAATTGTGGTGATTATACATCGTTGTTTTGCAGAGGACGGCTAAAAAATGTAATTTAAAAACGCACGTGCGGAGCTATTGTTCTGCCCATGAGGTCTTTTGTTTTGCCACGTCCACGTCGCTAGCGTCTTCGTGGTTTGCTTGAGTTCCATATATATGTCTATACGTTTGCGCTAAATTAAGGGTCAAAACATGGAACACACTGTTAGAGCGAAGAGGTCGTGGAGAGAGGATAGTGAATAGCTTGTCAAAAGTGACGTGGAATAACTTGGGATTAACTTGAAGAGCTTCTGAGCTTAATCGATTTACACCACGAAGTCATAGTCCTGTAGCCGTGGTTTTTAAAAGCTGATTACGCTGATCCAGGATTATGTGGGAGTGCTTTTCCCCCGTCACTGTTTTAAGTGGTTTAGCAGTAAAACTGAAAGACGAAAATATGCCTGTTATCAGAAGGTTCCCAATGAAAAGTTGCTAAATTCTCTGACTTCATTAGCCTAACACTACTTTAATGACTGCATCTGTTTCTTCTTTTTTTTTTATAGTTAGGTTCGATTGGCCGCAAAGATAACACTGACCAATATTTAACTGTTGTTTGGTTTTATCAGTTGTTACAATTAGACTGGCATCAAAGATGCCTAACGCCAAAACTCGCGCTGTTCTACTTCTGGGTAGTGCTATCGTTTCTCTCTTAGTTAGTTTTTGTTTTTTCTTTTTTCAGTTTTGTTTAGGTTTGGAATCTAGAGAGTGAAATATAAATGATGGCATATTTACCGCAGTATTCTAAGGGCCCTGAACTTGTCTCGGTCCATTAAAAAAAGTACAAAAACCAAATAAAAACTTTGTAGATCTAGAGTAGGCAGATGACACTTTAATAATGTTTCTCTATTCTTAGGAAGTGGCTCCTTTTTTGAACTCTCTGGTCGAGTTACTATGGCAACGTGATCAGGTGACCGTTTCCGCCTCAGCTGGACGGAAGGTTTCCCGTCATTCCGCTGGGTCTCGATCCTCTGCTGAGTTTAAGATTTATATTTGACATTCCAGTGGTTAGTTAAGTCAAGTATTCCCGGATAGCCATAAAGAAGAAGGTTATTCAGAAATTTGCGTGATGATTTGGTTTCGTCAAAGCTATAAACTTTATAATCTTTGATGTCACGTGCGGAAAAAAAAAACTTTTGGAAAATACAGGTAACACGTGACCATTCGCTTTAAGGCTCTGCCAAGTGAGGAAATGGTGCAGAGTGCGGGAACACCTGACCAAAATGTGGAAGTGGAAACGTGAAATTAGTAACAGATACGTGGTGGATTGTAAACGTGTTCGCATGGAAGCAGTGAAAACACGTGACGAGTTCGGTAGTATGGAACTTGTGACATACACGTGACAAGGTGTAAACTCGGTAATATGGAACCAGTGACATGCATGGGAAAACGCTCAACCAGAAATAAGGAGGGAAACTTTACTGAGGGCGGGAAATACGTAACCGCTGAGTTGTGCGAAGCGCAAGAAATTAGCAACCAGATACAAGTGGGTAAACAGAGCTAAGCGCTTACTTAGAACAGGCCGCCAGTAGATTTTCTAACATATTTTAGTTTTTTGAGATTGAAGGAAAGGTTATTCTTAATTTACAGTTTCACTTCTAACAGGGGTTCTTCCTGATAGAGACTGCAGAAAATCTTTACACACCAAAATCAGTTGTCAGGCTCTACCAGGAAGCAGTCTTGGATTAAAAACATCGAGAAATAAATGCTGAATGAAAAGTGTGAATGTTTCACAATGGATTTTACTTTAAACTTCGTTGCATAAATAGTTATCCTAAACAGCTCCAGTTCATATATTACTCAATACTTAGTCTTCAGGTTGTAACCTTTAAATATACACAACACGCTCTTCTGAAATAACTTAAGTATAAATTACAGAATTTTACAAACGAAATACAGTCAGTCCGCTTTTCATTACCTGCTGATATCACATATGTTCACTAAAGTAGGGACTATGGAATTCACGTTATAGAAGTCAAATGAATGCGATTGCTGTTCAAATATAGTAAAGTAGTAGTGTACTTCGTGTTAAGCCAAAAATACCAAAGAAGTTTAGTTGTGAATAAGAAATTTGTTAAAGGTTACTTTTGGGCGTCACTCTTTCAGTTCACACTGAATAATAAAGTCTATGATTTCTCTTTTTTTAAGGATTCGAAAGCCAACTTAGAGTTTTCTGTCTTTCAGGGCTGTTAACCAATAGGCTTGGCTTGCTTAGTTGAACTCTGCATTCCTTTCATCAGCGAATGCAAAACAGGTCTTTAACTCTTCAGGACTATTCAGTCTAGACGAATAGTTCGAGCATTACCTTTAAGAAAAATTTAAGAAATTTCTCCACTACTTCTACAGTAGGTTGTTAAAACTAGGCCATCGCTTTAAATTAATGAATTGTGAAATTGGCGCGCACAACTCGTGAATACGACTGAATTGATAAATTACTTATCAATGAGTGAACTTAAAATGTCTAGAAAATTCCAAATACCTACTTAAAAACTCATCTTAACAGATATCATTTAATTTTAAAACCGATCGAGTTAAAAGGCGATTCAAATGAATCGAACAAATACTTCTCCTAGAGAAATGCTCTTGTTATTCATATTTTTTAGACTCAAATAATTATCCAAACCGAGACAAAAATGGTTGGGGTGCTGGCTCTACTTGGACATGTTTCGCAAGAATTTTTGGTTCCCTTGTGTTCCCTAGAAAGAGTTTTGATATAAATATAACTTCTAATTCGGACGACTTCTACCCGAACATGCGTCTATGTAAACAATTACCTCCATTTGGCGCGAAATTATGCTCAGATATTTGTCCGCGGATATTATCTGTTCCAAGACCCAAACAGTTTGTTTAGTGTCCAAAAACAAATAAACGACCGTGTTTTCGCGCCAAATGAAACCTGTTGTGTCTATTATCCATCAAAAAACTTTGCAAAGCGTTGGAAAAAAATCAATACGGACAGCTAACAGTTTGCTTCGTGGGGTGTTTACTTTTTGGGGTTTATGAACAAACAAACATGTCCCTTCTTCTGTGACAACAGCTAAAGGTTCTCGTAGTGAATGAAGACTTTTATCGTAATAGAAGTAAGGTTTGCCACCGGGGAATATCACTAGGAGTTTATCGCCAGATATTCTTCAGTTTTAGCAGGGGGGGAATATCCAGTCACGTGATGCGTTTAGATAAACTGCGTGCCACAAAAATGATTGATGGATATTAATTATAAATTTATGATTGGTAGATTGGTACTTGCTCGGCTTTTGTACGTGACGAGCACTCCTAAACGTATTCTGGTTCCGTTGTCTGTCGTGAAGAGGTACTTTTCTTCCCCTCTGCATTGGAATCCTGAGAAATAACACTCAGCCTCATTTGAACGCCAGTTGGGTCCCACTCAAGGCTGTATCGATGAGCTGGGTCAAGTCTCACTTGGACGCACTCCACATGGTCAGCGGAGTCTGCTTTTCTCTCAGGCCCAGGACTCGGTTGGGGGGTGGGGGGTAGGTCGGGGATGGGCTGAGGAGGTGGGGGTGGCGGTGGAGGCATGACGTCTTCATCGCCATATTCGTAAGCGCAAGATGGATCCCATTCTAAACTTGATTTAGATACCCGCGATACCGTGGAAGCGGTGCTGACTCGATTTTTCTGCTTCAGTCCTGTTGGAAGGTCAGTTAGTTTATCACTCTCCTCGAGTTTGGCCAGCCTTCTGGTGGGAGACTGGGGAGAAGTACATCGGGGCTCATCGGGTGGTGAGCCAGGTTCACTCTGCAAGCTGATCGCAGGATTCTCGTAAATCCTTATCCTTTCTGCAGGCTTTGATGCCGTCTCCACTAGACTTTGTCTGGCTTTCTTTTTATCTTTGTCGCTTATCTTTATTTTTGATTTAGGAGCAACTGGTTTAATGACTAAAAACGTTGCTAGCCGCTCCCAGTCCATCGCTTTATTTGCAGATTTTGGAGAGGTGGGGCCATCTTCTGTAATTTTCTCTCCACATATTGCGGACCTTGAAGACGTTGGTGACGTAACATCTTCATGAATTTCTAAACCATCTGATCCTGCGCGAAACACTAAAACACCGTTTCGTTTTTCTTTCGAACGCTCCTTAGGCTTTTTGTCCCGGAGACACACAGGCGATAGAGGTCTCAGTGGACTCCTTTTGCCATCACTAACGTTCAAATCTTCGGCATCTTTCCCTTCTACGAGCGATTTAGTCCGTTTGTGAGGAGGCGGCAACTCGGTTTTGGAATCGTCGTGAGTTGGAACGCATTCGAGAGTCTTTGGCCTCTTTTTCAGCTTCGGTGATAGAACCCGAACAATAATATCCCGCACGGGGCTCATTCGTCGATTTCGCTTCGTATTTTGATTTTCATCTCTGGTTAATTCACCTTTAGCTTCGTCGTTATCGCATCGGTCCAGTGAAGAACCCGCACATCCTTTGGAAAGACGATATCTTTTCGCGTCCTTTTCTACAGAATTGCTCTTCCTCTTAGGATGCTGAAGACTCCCTGCGTTAGAAGGACACTTACTTGGAGTAATTGACGAAATACCGCTCGACAGTGTCGAGTTTCCGTCATTGATTTTCAGAAGTGCATTTGGTGAGCTTGGAGACATGCTGGGGCATTCGCTGCTCAGCCACGTGACATTGGTGTCAGAAGATATCGTACCGCACTCACTTACCCCTTCGTCTTGCACTCGGCCGCCCCTCGTCAAAGTGCACGGAGACGACGGAGCTGAGTGTAACAGAACAACAGCTTCTTCGTGACGAGAGTTAGTTGGAGATTTATTAGTAATTATTACTGCGCCTTCGGCCTTGGAGAGTTCAGATCCTCTTCTTTGCTGATCCAGTCCTTGTCTAATTTCAGGAACAGGCACTACTTTTACACAAGATTCTTTGTCAATAGGGCTTTTAACCTCTACCATTGACAAAGACTCCAGCGATTTCTTCGTAGGTAAAGGACCCATTTCTGTATCATGTTTTCTGTCTTTGCTTTTATCCGTCTCTAACTGATCCTCTTTCTGTTCTTTACGGCAAGACAAAGCACGGTAAAGATTTTCCAAATGATCGTTATCAAATGAGTACAAGAACGTATGTAGACAAGCGTTTAAAGACAGTGAAATAGCCATAGTTTGCATAGCTACTGTTTCAGTTACTATTGCGGGAACTGTGAAGAGGATAAGGGTGTACGGAACTGCCCAGGCAAAAAACGTCGACAAAACAAGAAGGAACGTGCGAACGGTGTTTTTATAATCCGTTGTCGCTGCAACCACAGGATCTTTACGTGTTGCTCGGCAAATCACAAAAATATGAATGAATATCATTACCACGCAAATACTAACAAGAGTTAAATTTATGCCTCTGTTTATATCTGTGAAGGATTTTCCACTGGCAAATGTCGAGCAAAGATAGCCCCAGTTTCCCGCTTTAGTCCATAGAACAACTGTGGCTATGGTTGCGAATATCCAACTCTCGAACACGTAGCCCAAAGCTCGGCACGTATCAATATAATGAGTAGATTTCATTATGACAACGAGAAATCTTTCCACCGTGACCAGCAAAAGAGAGAGCACAACTATCATGAGCCCGATGTACTTGACGATGAACAGCGGTACACAAAGCTTTGCTTCCCATCGTTCTTTATGGCACTCGGACGAGTTCTCGTATGTAACCGTATCAGATACCGTTACTATGACAATGTGCGCACCAATAAGAATGTTCCCTAAAAGTAAATTCATGACGAATATACAAAGAGGTGCTCGGCGGACTTCGCTGTTGCATAATAAAGTCACCAAAACGAGGAGGTTGGAGGCGACTGCGAGAAGACCGAAAGTCCATAACGCCAATTTCACTCCGGTGTTATCACCAATCATTCCAGGCCAACATGTGTTATTTGTTTTAGAAGCCACACAAATGACCTTCTTCTGTTTATTTTCGCATCTTGCAAGTACACAGGAATGTTTAGGAAAAGGAGAGAGCTTCATCACATCTTCTCTGATGTCCATAGCGTCATTGCAGACGGGGTAACCATTTGCCATACACTCTTCTGTAGGTTTTTTGTAGATCTCGCAATGGACCTTTTCCTGTTTGATATCGATGGTTACGTTGACTGAGTGTGACCGGTTACGGAGTTCCTCAGACAGATTTTGAATATTGTTGCTATCCACACCGATTATTCGTAGAGAGGGAAGACTTTCAAATACGTCTTTGTCTAGTATCAGCTCTCCATTGTCCTTAAGATTTCTGCAATAAATAATGGTTATAAAGTTTATCATAATGAGAGAATTGATTCGGGGAAAAATTGAATTATTATAGAGCAACTTTCAATTAAGTGTGAAAAGTAATCCAGGGCTGCGTTGGTTTTACACAACCTTGCTCTGTGATTGGTCCAGAGAAATCGTGCCATGCTCTCAACCAATCAGATGCAAAACTGAAAACAGTCGCGACTTCGTTGGTCTCGTTTTCCCGCGCTTCAAGCAGTATGCCTGTTTTCACTTTGAGTTCTTAATGGCTATATAAATATCGCTATAGAGCAAGAGTCCAAAGCAGTACGTGCTGATGGAAATTTAAGAAAATATTTTTATCTTGGCAAGCCCACTTGTCCAATGTGGAAACTGGCATGCAAGTTTTATAAGGAGACTGGTGGATGAGAAAAATATCCTGGACAAAACTTTGTAAAAATATCCTGGACAAAACTTTGTAAGTCGTTGATTTGTAAAGGTTTGAAGCGAAATCTATCTGCAATACGTTCTCATCGAAAAGTGATATAGCCAAGGTTAACACCAGTGTAAATAAGATTTGAGATATTTTGATATCACATATTCTAAGCTGTCATCACATGACACACATCATGACGGAAATAGAAATAAAACAACCCAAATGCATACAATTCTCGAAGATTGCGAAGTCCCCTAAAGGAATGTCTCGAAAGATGTCTGATAGAATTGTTTGCGAGAGATCTGCAAGGAACGAAATAAGTATGTATTAATTCAAAGAAGGATTGTTGTTGTTTAGAATATATTTGGACTTCTATAATCGCTCGTGATCTCTTTAAACTTTCAACATGGCAACCTGTAAAACTGGATTGATCATGGGCACTCACAGATATCGTAGCGAAGTAAAGTTTTCAAATGTTCCTGCAGGAATCTTTGTGATGTCATCTGACGAGAGATCACTGGAAGACAATCAAGATAAACTACTTAATTGGACTTCTCTAAATAAGGCTATCTTTATAATGCTGGGAAATCGCCAGAGAGAAAATCAAATCCAAAGGGGTCAATTATCAACTTAACCTTGACTTGGTAGAACTGGGGGACAGTCAACGACCGTGAGATGTTTTGTGATTCAACACTGAGCAAGGCTAATCGCATTCTTGTCAAATATCTTAATAAATATCTCAATTTTCGCTTGTCACATCACTTTAGCAGTCAAATTCATAAAGCCTCCACATTCTTGTTACGTTTAAAACGATGAAATTATAAAGGAGAAACTGCAAACATTACTGAAACTCGAAAGCTATCATGTTTCGCATGGATATTTTTCCTCGAGGATAGCGACTGTTGAAAATAAAAATATCTTGGTTCGTTGTAAAATACATGACCTACCCTTGAACCTCGATTTAATTAGAACTATACCTATATGTGTATATATATATATATACATAAATCTATGTTGAGTTAGAAATATAACAAAGACTACGCTATGTTATTTTTCTCAACATATATTGCGCCCAACTTTTATGCATCGAGCACTGTAATACGGAAAAATCAAAACGCAGACTTCCCATATATATATATATATATATATATATATATATACATATATATATATACATATATATATATACATATATATATATATATACATATATATATATATATATAT